GTCATGTAGTGCTTATATTCCAAAACAAAATCTGCGCTCTCCTTTCTTCTGTCCATCGACCCAGAGCTAATATCAATATCGTATTGGGACACCCCTACCCGTATGTACCCCAGCAACATATTCATTCTTGTGCTTTTACCATTTCTTAACTGTTTAAACCTAGCTTTATTTCTTTGTTTTATGAAGAATGAGGAAAAATAAATAAGGCACATTTGTTTCCACGTTTGTGCCTTTGTTCGCACTAAAGACACTCAGACTGAATTATTCTGTTTTGTTCTTCCTCAGTGATCCTGGTCCTAATCTTACAATATTTAATGATTTTTCTGGACACAACTTAAAACAATTTTTTTTTCAAAACACTTCTGACAATTTGCACATATTCACACTTAATTAGAATACCAGATCTTCTCCACACTGAAACACTTTTTGTAAAAACAAACAAAAGTACTTATTTATAAAGTGATTTTGTTGCCACATCATACATTGTTCAAATAATGTAACACACTTTTTATCATTTACGCACTGGTGCACTAAACCTAAAACACCTTTAGCACCTTTCCTAGGTGTCCAGTAAATTTACAAAAATAGAAAATGCATGGCATAAAGTCATCATGAAGTCAGAAAAAAAAACATTTGATTTCCATCAGTTTTTTTATAAACTATACAAATCTTTGTGTAAACATAGTAAATGCACTGTGCAACACAACTTCTATAACAAAAACCACCTTCTAATTCAGATGTCATCTTTGCCCAGCTGAAAATGGGAAGAATCTCATTGTGTGCTGATTAACTCATACCTGATTGCTGTGTTCTTAATTAAGCATAAGTGTCGGCACACCTGGTAAATGTTCAATATGGCCACACCTGTGAACTATTTGGTTCATAGGCTTGGTCTAATGAAATGGTGTTTTCAAATGACAATGAAGTGACATTCTTTTTTCGTTCAAAGCAGATACAGCATGTTTAGTGTTTTTACAAAAAATGTGAGGCTGATATTGTGCTATATTTGTCAAATTTGAGCTGGTGTTTTGCTCCTATAGTATAAAGTTTTGTGAACTGTAGACAACTCTGCTTTAAGCACGCTGTGTGCTGCATCTGAAGTGGTGAATGTGGATGGGATTGTTGGACTTTCATGACGAAATTGCCTCGTGGTCCGCATTATCGGCATTTTGGCACCTTCTTGTCGCAACCCGCGGCAGAATTTTTTACCCCCTCTACATACGAACTTATTGTTTATAATTATAAAGTTTGTGTGTAACATACAGGGTTAATTGATAAAATATTAATAATTCTTAAAATGACTGGTTGTTTTTCAGCACGGTGTATTCTAATTATTTTTCTAGTGAGAAGGTTGTTTATTCCGATGTCGCTTGAACATTGCTCGGGTCGTGTTGGACGGGAAGCGGCTTGACCAAAACGGATAAAAATAAACACGCATTCTCATCGCCGCTCTGGCAAACATGTACATATATTATTGGTTCTGTTTGTTATGATATCTGACCTATAAGTATGACGTCATAATTCCCTGATAACTATCAGGCCGATAACTATTGTGCACCTCTAAAAAGGATGATCAAACGCCGAACAACCACTTGTCGGCTGCCGAACGACCACGCTGAAGCCTTTAGTGTGTAATAAACCCACAAACTTACCACTATAACAAGACAATGTAGAAAAATGGCTAGTATGAAGAGATCCTTTTCTGTTGGCTCTTTTTGTTTAAACCCTCTATAGTCTTTTTTTCTTTGCTCTGTGAAAATAGCTTTRACTGTTTACAGTGAGAAATTCTTAACAAGTTTAATCAAAACCAATATGTTTAGTTTATCTAAGAAGCTTTYGTAATTTGAAACTTAAATATAGTTTTTAGGCCCATCGTGTCCTGGATGAATCTACACCAGCACATTGAGGTCGTTTCTATTAAATACTGTTCCTGACTAACATGTTATACTTGGTTTTTATTGCTTAAGTGAAATTACAGCAAGAACCAAGTTTCTGATGTTTTGATGTCTTATATTTTAGAATACAAACATGACATAAACCTTTAGTTTGTTTTTATATGAATGAGAAGTGATTTTTAATGAGTACTAATACCTTGCTATYATCAGTCCACTGACTAACTTGAATTTGTCTGTCATCCATGTTATCTTCTGGCTGACTGCCRTTTAGCGTGGTGATGAGTGTCACCCGGAGAGTGACACAACAAGTCACATGAGGTCTGATGTGCTCGGTCACAGAAAGGTTACATTTTTAAAAAGTGTGACCTCTCCAATTAAGGACACACTTCAGAGTTGCCTAGTTCTGAAAAGAAAAATGATGTGACGTGTGCTTTTCTCATTTTTATAGAAAAAAATATGTCGGTTACATGAACAAATTTATGCCATTGTTTAAAAAATGTTGACAATAACAAACAATTCTACAACAAAAATGAAAGTAAAGGTTAAAATAGTATGTCAGCTGTTTGTTTCACATGAATAAAATGATTGAGCTACTCCTAGAATACACTTTGTCACAGTGGAAACATTTGTCAAGATGATAAAAATTGAACACAGACATAAACGGCAAAATTATTTTGTAGTCGTCCCAACTCCACAGCACAAATCACCACTAAAAGTTTATCATGTTTATTCTCTTGTTCCTGTTCTAGTCTATAAACCTGTACCACAATATAGAAACATGAACAAGGCAAGTACTTGTCCTTTTTGTTTTTGGAATGCAGCAGTGTTGTTGTAAAGGCTTTCTATACAATTCAGGTTTGCCTGTCTCCTCCGCTGAAGCAAAGTGCAGATTTACTGTCTTGTTCATGATTTGAGACTACAGAAGCAATTTGTGTGCTAAGTCAGCTGTGCAGTCCCATTCGATGTAAGCGAATGCGCGATCCCGGACAAACCAGACAGTGAGCCATTGTTGTCGTTTTGACCTCCCCTCTTTTCTGTGGGCACTTCTATCGGGAAGCAGGAACACTTTGTGACACGTGCTGACCTTAGTCAGGCACGGAAGATGCGTCATACCGCTGCCTTTCCTGCACACTCCTGTAAATCTCAAATAATGACTTCTGACGCAGTAAACATGTTGCGGGGAATGGACCGTGACTGATTTCAGACACGTCATGTTGTGTAGATTGCTGCTGAAACTACAAGCCAAAACTGCCAACAATGAAAATAGTTTTTGCATGATTTAGTAGCARATTTTGTCAGTTGTAATGCATAACAGGCATTTTATTAAAAAACAAAACATGTTTTGGCAACTTTTGAGGTATTGCTGCAGGTGTTTTCCTCGCAGTTTATAAGAAACTTTAAAAAAGTAAATATGGAAGTGAATAAAGTGTTTACTTCATGGTATATTTCTGTTGAGCTTCTGCACCACTGTGTTAAAATAAATGACTAGTTTGCAATCCAAACAAATGACCCAGTTTTACATTTTCAATGTATCATTTATATTCTGAATCTAACCGATTAATCAAAAAAACGTTTTTTTGCTTTGTCATTAAATTTCAGGCGAGTCGATGCGACTGGCCTCTGGAGAATTTGCAGATGACCCCTGTTCTTCTGTGAAGAGGGGCAATATGGTTCGTGCTGCCAGGGCCCTTCTTTCAGCTGTCACACACCTGCTGGTTCTGGCAGACATGTCTGATGTCTACAAACTTCTCCTGCAGCTTAAACTGGTGAGATGATTCAATATGTTCTTGTTTTACTGATTTAAAATCAATATTTGATTTCAGGAAATTAAATAATTTTTCCCAACAAAGAATGACATTTTTTATTGACATACCAAACTACACACATTACTGGTTTGAATAAAGATGTACCTGGAAACAAAAACAAAACATTCTTTAGCCTGTTCTGAKTCGTCCTCCTGATGGGAAAACTCCAACTCCACCATATGGGTTGCAGCTGGCTGTCTCCCATTGACAGGTTTTATAATGTCCTCATTCTCCTCTGCATTTTAGGTGAGCTACCTGATGGAGCTTAGTCTGTTGAGGCCCTTTGTGATAAAAAAAAACAGGGATTATGGTCACTGGTCGCAGTGTGAGAGCAGCACACGGTCCACTGCTAGAAATACTGAGTTGAGACTCACCTGAATACAAAGACTTTCACAATAACACTCTGACTAGTCTGCAGCCTGCATGCTTCAGCCACTCGAATGTTGTAGCTGTTTTCATCCTTTATCAGAATTTAAAGCATATTTCCACCAAGATTACCTGGAATCTTTTATCCCAGGAGTCTTTTATTGTATTTTATTTTTAGTCCCTAAATGGTCCTGCACTGTTGGTTGTTTATGTTTCCACTAATTTAATTGCAAATAGATTGTACCTGCTACTACAGAGTTTACTAATGAGATAAAATGTCTGGCTAAACAACTGCAACAACACCTGGCTAGAATTATTGCAACACATCTGTTGGAGGTTGTTCTTTTAATAGTTTGTATAAAAAGAAAAATCAGAAATGTGCTGTGAAACTATAAATTGTGAATGACTAAAATTATTATTAATGCCAGAATGTTGGAATTGTAATAAATTGTAGTTTTGTGGCATGTTTGATTTATTTTAATTAAAGCTCCAATAGTTGTGATCCTGTCATTTTTACAGGGGCTGTAGACTATTAAGAAGTTTTCAGCACATTAAAACCTTCCAGAAAAGTCAGCTTTTTGTATAAAATCAGCTCAAATTGTTGTGGGACCAAAGGTTAGTAATCTGGGTTCACATGAAGGATCTTTAAAGGGTTGAACTGATTCTTTTATCAGCTTTGATATGTTCTGGTTTTTTAAGTGTCTATGAATTGTTTCAAATCAAATTGAGTTAAAATTTGCTATGGTGTGGAAAAAACATTTAATATTCACTATTAACTCTTTGTTCTCTTGGTTCAGGTKGAGGATAATCTGGTGAAAGTTCGCAACGCAGGAACAGAGCAGGACTTGGGAATCCAGTACAAGGCTTTGATACCAGAGGTGGACAAGCTGAACATGATGGCTGCCAAGAGACAGCAGGTAATGACAGACATTTGGTGGATTTAATTGGATTGCATGGTTACTGTTATTACGAGATGTTTTCTGTTCACATAACAAATGGTAATTTACAGTGGGTAGACTATTCAACAACAAACCTTATTTTCTACATAGGTAAATGGATGGATAAACAAATTTTGTCGAAGAAATGTGTAAAAAAATTATAGAATTCTCACTTTGGTACAAGTGTTGGTCAGTCTCAAAGTAGATTTAATGTTTTCCTGAAAACAGAAGGTTTATTTTTTACATATCCAAGAGGCGCGCTGTCCAWCTCCTTAATGCAGATGAAAATGACCGTGGAGTTGAGTTTATTTTGTGATAATGATACATGACAAGAATCATAAATTATTTGTTTATCAAACTAACAAATGTATTAACTATATTTTATCTTAAATATTCTTCATGCTGGCCCATAGTAAGACTGTTTTCTTGGTCTTGCCAGTGCTAATTTAACTTTAGTGTTTATGTACCAAAAAATGTCACCAACATTAAAGTGGACATATGAAAAATTCACTTTTATATCTACATGTGGACAAAATTGATACCCCTTGTTTAGTGAAAGAAAAACCCATAATCACAGAAAAAACTAGAATTTGACAATAATAATAATAAATTAAAATTCTATGAAAATGAACAAATGAAAGTCAGACATTGTTTTTCAACCATGCTTCAACAGAATTATTTTTAAAATAAGTCATGAAACGGGCTTGGACAGAAATGATGTCACCCTTAATGTTTTGTTGCACAACCTTTGAGGCAATCACTGCAATCAAACGATTCCTGTAACTGTCAGTGAGACTTCTGCACGTCTCAGCAGGTACTTTKGCCCACTCCTCTTGAGCAAACTGCTCCAGTTGTCTCAGGTTTGAAGGGTGCCTTTTCCAGACTGCATGTTTCAGCTCCTTCCAAAGATGCTCAATAGAATTTAGTTCAGGGCTCATAGAAGTCCACTTCAGATTAGACCAGTGTTTTTCTCTTAGCCATTCTTGGGTGTTTTTAGCTGTGTTTTGGGGCATTATCCTGTTGCAAGACCCATGSCCTKCGACTGAGACCAAGTTTTCTGACACAGGGCAGCACATTTCTAGTAGACTAGATAGTCTTGAGATTTCATWGTACCCTGCACAGATTCAAGATGCAGCAAAGYAACCCCAGAACATAACAGAGCCTCCATGTTTSACAATAGGAGCAGTGCTCTTTTCTTGAACATAGAGCTGATGTGTCTTTTCAAAATGTTAAATTTTGTCATTGGTCCATAGGACATTATCCCAGAAGCTTTGTGGCTTGTCAATATGTAGTTTGGCACATTCCAATCGGGCTTTTTTATTTCTCTCCCATGAAGTCCACTTTGGCTCAAACRACGATGGATGGTGCGATCTGACACTGATGTTTCTTGAGCTTGAATTTCACCTTTAATCTCTTTAGAAGTTTTTCTGGGCTCTTTTGTTACCATTCGTATAATCCGTCTCTTTGATTTGTCCTCAATTTTCCTCCTGCGGCGTCCATGGAGGTTGGCTACAGTTCTATGGATCTTAAATGTCTGAATAATATGTGCAACTGTAGTCAMAGGAACATCAAGCTGCTTGGAGGTAGTCTGTTAACCTTTACCTTTTAACATTCTTGTCTATAATTTTCTTTCTAATCTCCTGAGACAACTCTTTCCTTTGCTTCCTCTGGTCCATGTTGAGTGTGGTACACACCATGTCACCAAAGGCACTGTGAGTATCTGTGTAGCCATATATACAGACCAACTGACTGATTACAAGATTGTAGACACCTGTGATGGTAATTAATGGACCCACCTTGATTTAACATGACCCTTTGGTCACATTATTTTCAGTGGTACCATCATTTCTGTCCAGACATGTTCCATATGTTTTCTTTGTTAAAAAAAAAACTAAAAACAAAATCTGTCAAAGCATGGCTGAAAAGCAGAGTTGTAAAGTAACTAAGTTGAAATACTTCTTTACTGTACTTAAATAGAATTTTTGGGTATCTATACTTAAGTAATTATTTTTCAGCCTACTTTTTTTAACTTCTACTTCTTACATTTTCACACAGTTATCTGTACTTTCTACTCCTTACAATTTTTAAAAAGACAAAAAGTAGAAAGTCGTTACTTTTATTTCATTTTTGCTTGTTTTCATTCCATCTTATTGTAAAAAATACTTTCCATATAAATTGTGCCTCCTAGATAGTGAATTTAATTGTGGTTGAATGAAAAGTATAAATATATAAAATTCTGAGACAGTGTTAGTTTGTACACAAACAAATTATGTCACACTCCAGCAGGACGTAATCATTAAAATAAAAGGACTGTACCTAAGAAGTATTTGTATTTCGCAAATTATATTATTGCATTTGGCCGCAGCCCTCAGATTTTCATTTTGAGGAAAAGGTTTGGGCAGCCTTGATAAATGTATATAAACTGAAACCGCTAGACTAGTGC